GGTAGAGTAGAAGGGGGTATAAGCAGTAGTTTAGATATAACTTTCTTCAAGTAAGTAGGATACTATTGATAAGGAAGGGCTGGTTTATAGATTTAAGTTTGTATTTGCTTAGTCTATCGCTCTTACGTTTATGCTTATCTAGTTTATTGCCTTTATATTCTAGCAAACAAATCAATTTAGAAAGAAGAGGTACTAATTTGGAAGGTCTAACCACTGACTGTAACAGTAGATTTAGTAGATGGTCCCTCTATATTCTATGATTCTGCTTAGAGTCTTGTAAGCTCAGCTTTTAAGATAAAGCGGCCTTTTGTATCCTTTGGAGGAGCTCTTTTCTTGGGTATTTGCTGGCGAATAGGCGAATATATAGCAAAGATATAGTAGATAGGGTAGAATAAGCGAAGATGACTTAAATAAATCGAACGAATTAAAGCTTATTTTAGGTTCCTAGGATAGAAGATCTTGATGCTGGCTTATTAAGGGCTTTGGTATATAGACGTTTACTTTTATAAAGCAAGAGGTATACTACCATCTGTTTGTTAGATTTTGATCTTCTAGATCTATTTAGGTTTGCTATAGCTTACAAACTAAGGATGCTAACTATCCTAATTTGGTTGATTACTAAGTATAGTCTGGTGTTTTCCAAAGCTTACACTCTTTCGTTTAGCTTTGACTGGTTGTAAGGCATAAAGCAATCGTTTTTTGACATAGAAATATGGAAATGTCAAAACGATGGCCATACTACCATATCAGAACACTGTAAGGAGAACATAAGAGACACAAGGCTAAACTAAGGGTGAAGCTGTAGAGCCTGTCTGTCCTGGGTTTAGCAAAAGTGTGTATGTATCTGTCTAAGTAGTAGTAGTAGTATAGAGGGTGGTAGGTGGCTAAGGTAGGTGGGTGCAGGTAGTGGAGGTCATGTGACCCAACAAGTAGTTCTCAACAGCTCTCTGTAGGTTGATAAGTGCTGGGACAGGGGCGGTAGTCATGGCAATGGCTAGGACTTGATGTCTCTGCTATGATGGGAATGTCCTAGAACAGGAAGTTCAAGGGAGTGTGCTAGCTACCTGTTCAAAGGCATGGTCCAGTAGTGTCCTAATGTTGATAAATGACTGCGTGCTTACACCCCCACCGCGTGGTATTGAATTTCTATGTCAGCACTACAGAGAGTATTCTCTTCTCCTTCAACATTGCTTCAAGTCCACATCGTAGTATAAAGTACGGTAGAACCTGTGCGTATAACCTCTGGTTCTGGTTACACCACACTCCAATCAAACTTTGCGTAGGGAATCGGAGATACGTGCCCACATTCAAAAAACTTACCAACTGAAAATAGAGACTAATATAAAAGTGGCCTGCCTCTTCTCGATTCCAACTGTGCGATACCTGCCGAGTTTCATTCCATTTCACAGGTGTCGCCCACGCTCACCTCATGGAAGTTGCAAATGCGTGCATCACTTCACTACCGAGACTCACTGCTCTGGTCTATTCACCATGTCTTCAATACCACTGGGCAAGAGGCAATGGAATTCAACCTGGGATGACTTGCCTAGAGAAATCCGCCTTCTTATCTTAGAAGCCCTTATGCAAGACGGTTGCACATTGAGCCACTTAGCCACAGTTTCTCGAGACTGGCAAACAGAACTCGAGCGGCATAACTTCGCTCGAATCAGACTGACACCATCGCGCCTTGTTGATTTTGGTTCGATGATTCATCGCAACCGAACTCTTGTTGGCTATATCTGGTTCTGCTTGGAACTTGATGACTATGATTGTAACACATGTGCGCCTGCTCCTAGAAGCCTCACAGGAGAGGAGTTGGAGGAGGCATTTACTATCAGTGATACAGATCACTGTCCTATCACTACGGCATTTCAGAGTCTGTTCTCAATTCTCAGCACATGGGATTCCATCGGAGATTTGAGACTCGATATTAGTATCTACTCGCCAAGTGACTCAGAACATTGGTTCAAATATCTCACCTTTATGCCCGACAGCCCTACTGAAATGGTTGTAGGAGGTGATATAGAGCACTCAATGTTTAACAAAGTCTACGACGATCCTCAACATGGCTGGGTTGCTGGTTTTCGACACTCTGCTCCACCAGAAACGGCTATCGGCAAAGTTTTCCATTCAGTCATGGGCGAGGGCCCGTTTGATAGCGAGCAGTTAGAGCGCCAATGGTGGGATCAGCTTCCATCGGTCTCAGCGGTAACCAGCTTACTTCTTCGGCAACAGAATCGCCGGAGATGGAAGCCGGGCTCGCTTGCACATATGTTTGCCCGTTTCCCAAGACTCCAGGAAATTCACTACGAGCCCTGGAGGGAGTGGGACTTTTGCAGACTTATACGGATAGAGGTGAGTTCGCTGTATACCTGCCTAAGTTGTTCCTCGACCTTAGTTGCGTAGGCACCCTATTGCTAATAATCCGCATCCCTTTTCTAGAGTCCCAATATCTCTTTGAGTCTATGCAACAGTTTAACGCCAATCTCAAGAGACTCGTGGTCTTTGAGAATTTCAATCAACAGTACCCAACAGTCATGCAGCGATTTCTCGACGGCGAGGACTTGGCCAATTGCGACAGTTTTCGCAACCCTGCCCCAGCTGTTAGCCAAATAATCACCCTCGCCAGCTTCAAGCTTGAGCATCTCGCAGCATCCTTTATCGTAGATGCTAGCCAGTTCTTCGAGATCGACCCCCCTTGGGAGTGGCCGAACCTGATCACGCTTGCGCTTACTTCAAACCTACTTACGCCCAACGAGAATTCAATTGAGATTGGAGTTATGCTCCAGGCAGCGGCGGCAGTGGCTATGAAGATGCCACGACTGGAAACAATGGAGATTTGGAACGGAAGAAAAGGATTTGCAGGGCTTTTCAAGTATCAGGCGTTTCGCGACATACATGAAGCTAAAATCATTTGGAGAGGTACATGGAAATTGACCATTGAACCATCTGTAAGTCTAGCTTGGGAAGCTGTCATACATCAGTATAATGGTTGGAGACTCGGTTTAGCTCAGGAGCGCCTGGATAAAGCTGCTATCAAGTCTCATGGTGATGCAATTCACTACTTAGGACTTTCGAGTCAGGTCATTCGGCCCATCTCGTTGCAGCAGATTCGGATGGAGCAGAAGATTCTGGAGGGCGTAGCGACCGTGTAAAACCACATAAATCATGTATTCTAGAAACAAAATGCTCCTACCATTTGTCATTGTAGGTGGTATAAATTGGTAAACAAAGTCACGCTTATTCTTACATTCTTCCAAACACATCCTCTCCACAGTTATCGGTGTCGTCCAACGATAGGATCTCGGCGACAGAGCTTATATCAGCACTTTCTTATAATCCGTCTCATGATAATAAGAGACAATCCACCCATCCCTGAAGTGTGACGGCTTGTCCATGAAGTGTCCAATTCTTCACATGCTCCTCGTCATTTGAGCTTCCAGGTTTGACAGCGATGGAATAGCATAGCCATGTTGCTGAATATCGGCAGCGACTGCATTTTGTTCTTTGTCCATGCGTGCTCCATATTCCACCTAGTCGTGCCTGAGATGTAGAATGTTGAATCGCTTGAATCTGGGATTTTGTATGGCCAATCTGACTGGAAACAACTTTCGAGATATATGTCTTCAATCTGCCTCTGGATCGTTGACATGAAGTCTTCGTTGCTTCCTTCCCATTGAAGATATCTCTTGGCAAGCAAGGGAAGATTCTTTTGCTGAGAACAATATCGCTTGATGGTGCCAACCCTACTAATATCGATAAGTATGTCTCCCCTCTCGCCACATTCAGAGACGTCGTCCTCTGACACCTCTGAAGATGCAGACATCGGAACCTCGGCTATACAAAGCGTGAAGGGCCTCCCATATTTTTTGAGTGCCCCTAACATGGCATCTAACTGGGGATTTCGAGTTGAGAAGATCGATTCTGATATGACAATACGATCTGCCCTAACAGCATGAAAGAACGGGTGAAGTGTGTCTGAGAGGTAATATCGCAGGGATGTCGGCGGTTCCCAAGAGTTGATCACGATCAGGTCCGTCCGGGGATTGTACAGAAAAGAGTGACAACAGTTGTACGTGAGAAGTTTATGGCTCTCCAGAAGACAATCGCGAGCTTCTTGACACACCATAGACAAGATTGTATGTTCTGCTATTGTCTTTCTCTTGCTCACGCACCGGCAGGTAAGTCCTGGGCTTGCTCGGAGAGTCAGAACGCGGCGAGGAATGCATAACGACCAGATTTGGAACCGTAATTCATAGGGCAGCTTCGAGAACCAGAAGAATTGGTTTTCATCGCTCGCGACCTCCTCGGATTTCGCCAGTTCGATATTCGCTGCCATTTTTGATCGAACTTTGGGTTGTCCAAGTGAAGTTTCAGACAATGAAGAGGAAACAACAGTTTAAAAGCGGGAATTCCGCTTGTTTTCTCAGCTGTCAGCACTACGATAGAGAACCGACTTAGAAGGATTCCTCATGGGCCTGTAAGAAATGATGCTGACGGCGGCGGACAGGGGCGGCCGCTGTCCATGCCTTGGCCTGATTTGGGCCACGCGAGCCATTCTCGCATTTGCCAATCCTCGGACTGTCATTGACTGAAGGCCAAAGACTCAAAAGAGAGATAAGATACCGTTTGACCAATCTACTGAAAGCTATTGACCACTATTACTGGGCTGAGGTCACTTTTGAAGTATTCATGATTAAAGTAAGGGTGGATAGAGACCTTGTCAGGGGGCATTGAAACGCACAGACCAGCAACCAGCTCAGCCCCCAGCTGAAGATCCCAACTGAGTTGCTGTGGCGCAGCAGCCAGTGAACAGGCAGACATTGAATCAGCCTCGAGTAATTCGATTTATCTAGGGACGCTGCTGAGGTCGCCAACGAACTCCTCTTCTCGTTCATACAACCTCGATTGAATATTGTTCTCTGGCATGGCCGTTTCACATATTTAAGACATTGCCCACAAGAATCTAAGAGTCGCAGAGTAGTAGGTGACGAGATACAATGGCAGCCTCATACCGCGCTCGCGACAATGCAGGCGAGGTGCTTGTGACAGCCGCCTTGCTCGGCTTGTCCTTGGCAGCGAACCTCTGGACATCAGTCTACTTCAAAAGATACCCTATTGGTTCATGGAAGGAAGAACAGGAGGCTGCGCTCGCCAAGCAGCAGAACAAAGACACGACAGCGGCGGTGGTCGACAGCGACAACCCGTCACCCGATGCCTCCAGGGATGATAAGAAGTCAGCCCCAGGCAGTGGGAAACGCTCTGAAGTCGGCGGCGGCGAAAACGCCGAGGTAGCAATGACCCTTCTAGCCGTGGGCTCTACTCTTTCCACGGCGCTTCTCACTCTCTTGCTCTGGGCTGCGCACAGGCGAGCCTTCCCGCGAAGCGTAGACGGGTTCCTCCTGAGCTCGCTGCTAAGTCTCCTAATATTCGTATTCGTGTCCATGTTAAGACGCTGGCACAGCTTCTTCGACTGGGTGTTCTACGCGTACGCGGCCGCGGCGCTGGGATATGCCATCGAGGCTAGATTCCGCTTCTGCAATCAGTTGATCGACTCTCTGGGAGGCGTAGAAGTCTAATGCATTACACATAGGAGGTTCGTCAAGGCGTCCTGTCTCTAGCAGTTGCTAGAACCAGGCCTACTAGGTAGCTAGCTCAAAATCTTGCACTGCGCAGAGGACTTTTCATATGCACAAAATGATATTAGGTATCCATACGCCGCTAAAGACACTCAAAAATGCTTCCAAGGCCGGATTACGGCATGCCATGCGATCAATGCTCTTTTCAAGAACATGCTGTCATGTAACCTAATTCTCGCTTCGCTCCGCGCGACCTCATCCAAAGAAAATCAATGCTCTTCACCCATTATTTTGCCCCCTAAACTGTACTAGGCGACTTCGGGCCGTCCTAGTCTTCAACTCTCATAATCGCTCTGCGCTGGTTCGCTTTCTCAATCATTCCTCGCCGCTAGGTTCATTTGCATCATTGCATCCGCTGTCCAGTCTTCATCGGGATTGCCAGTGGTCCCCTCTCGGGTCCAGTCCATCGACTCCCGCCCGTCTACGGCCGGAAGCCTGATTTGTGGTGCGTTAAGATGTTGTCCACCAGCACTACCTGGCTTCGGCCCCACCGGCGGCCTCCGGTCGTCATCGTCGAACTGGTTGAAGTCTGGTAAATCGAATCCATGGGAAGGCGTGCCCGATGTGATACGAGGCTTTGTTGGCGTGAGATCGTTGATTGACCCGTTACCGCCAGCTGAGCCTGGTGGATTGTATGCATTATTGATGCTGGCTGGTACGCCATAACTGTCACGGCCCCTTGAGCTAGGAGCCTGTTCGTCGCCAGGCATCTCGGCAATTTGGGCTCGTGGTGGCAACGCAGCCATCGACTCGAGCTGCTGCTCCAGCTCTCTCTGCTCTAGGATTTGAGGAGCAGGTTCCATGTTCCGAAGGCTGCTGCTATTTCCTGGAACAACCCCAAGACCACCGCTATTTCGCAAGCTTCCAAGACTGGCCCTGTTTGCGTCACTTGCATTGGTGCCATCACCTTCACCGCCACCAACAGCAGCCAGTGCGGCAGCGTCCATGTCACGGATTGCGAACTGAGCCATGGTCCTCATCTTTCGCGAAACCCAGGAAGCTAGGATCTTGCCTCGTTGCTTCTCGCCGAGTCGTGATCGTGGGAAATCACCCTTGTTGACGAAAGCCACGATATCGACGATGATTTGATGCTCGTTGAGAATAGCGTTGACAATGACGGGAACAAGAGATGCAAGGTAAGCCTTGCGACCCACTTCAATGAGGACTACGACCAGTCCACCAGCTTGGAAAACGGCACTACTTGAGGTTAGTAAAGGGTGCATCAAACCAGGACAAACGCGACAGTGCTTACCAGCCACCAGGGACGATGTTACGATGGCATCGTTCGACAGAAGACTCTATATCCATTGGGAAGTGGCTCAAGCCATTGATCTCGAAGGTCTCGCCGATGCTTCCAAGCACAAAGAGGACTTGCATATCCACCTGAGCACCACCAGGTCCAATAGGTCTGCTCACATTATGCAAGAAACCTAGATCGCCCGTCCTGACGTATCGAATGGTTGGGTCTCCATCAACCGTCCTTCCATCAAATCGCTCAGCATCAAAAGCATCCTTGGAGCCATAGAAGGACTTTACACATGCCTCAGAGTCTACCCAAATCTCACCATACTCGCCATCACTGCAAAGTAGACGGCTTTCCGGATTGACAATGGCGATCTGAGTTGAAACAGGCACCATACCTGAGTCCTGGACAAGAAGTGCTTTCGGATCGGTATCTGGGTCGACTGGGATGACCAAGCCGCGGCGTAGAGCTTTTGTATCGAGCCATAGTTCGATCGGCTCAATGCACATATACGATCGAGATGCGATCATGGGATTGAGAACATGAGAATAGACCGTGTTGATGGCCGTGCGATCGAGGCCCGTAGCCGCGAAGTGCAACCGCACCTTTTGGAATACATCAACGCGGGGGCGTGCGTCTGCTGAGATCATCATGTTCTTCAACTCGTGCAATGTGAAGCCCTTGCCCGCCATCATAGCCATTGCATGATCCAGCATTTGAGGCGTCGCATATGTGTCCTTGATCTTATATCGGGACAGAATCATGAATAGCGAGATGGGGTTCTGAGCGAACTCAACTGGTGATAGCAGATATGTCGGTGTTCCGATGTAGATACCCATAAGACATGAGTGGATGAAGCCAAGACCAGTGGAGCTTCGTACGCATCCGAGCACTGGCCTCGAGCTAGTCATTTGACAAGTCTCCTTCTGGACCTTGCACATGCCAAGAATCGTGTCATGGCCGAGCTGAACTGCGAGTCTGCGCTGGTCCGGTGTCCAGTAAGTCCAAATGATGACAGGGTAGCCAGGCTGTATCCAAGCCGGATCCATTGTGATGCCAAGATCCCGCAGACCGTTATTCTGCTTCGGGGGCTTCGTAGTGTTGTACACGCTGGGAACAGAAACTTTAAGGAATTGTGCGGCCTGCTTGATGTGCTGTGATATCGGTTTCATCTTCAGGAGATGATCCACGTCTGTGTTGACTAACACGCACTTAACGCGATAGTCGCCTATGAGATGCAAGAAAGCAGGAGCATCTTCCGAAAGCCGGTTTTGATCCAACGGCGCAACAGGGATGATAATAGCACCTAAGTTGATGCAAGCGTGTACAGCAAAAATGAAGTCCTCAGAGTGGGTATACATCAGTACCACGTGGTCACCCGGTCGGATCTTCACCTTGTTTCTCAGATAGACAGCTACCGCGGCCACTCTCATATCGAACTTCTTCCAGGTGATACCTTTTCCTTCTTTTCCTCTACCATCAATGGTGCAGTATGCGAGCTCTTCTGGCTGTCGTGCGACTCGCCACTGGATAAGATCCGTGATGCTCGAGAAGTTGTTCAGCGGGGTTGACGTGCGGTCATCAATGACCACCTCTCGGCGATCGATCCCAGAGTATTGTTTGTCGGCTGGGTCGAGGATATCCAATCTTGAGTTGGATGCCATTGGTGACCAAATGCCGCCGATAGGATCGACACCAATGGGCAGATTCAGAACCGCATGCTCCACTCCGAACTTCACATGCACGCATGGTAGGTTTCCAAGGTCGAATTCTCTGCGGCAAAGCATGTTACCGATTTCTTTCCGACCATTCTTTAGCACTCGAGGCAGCGAGTTCGGGGCGGTAATCATCACACAGTATACTCGCAGGTGATGCTCCTGCATCAAAACTTCGATACACCGCTCTGAAAGAGAATCTAACAGGGCAGTGTCTAACTGTCTTGGTGGACCGCCTGATGTGGCCGGAGCTGTTGATGCTGATTGCGATTCAAGAACAACGATGGGTAGGTGTTCCTCGTTCACAAAGACATCGAAGGCAGAACAATCGAATATCTTCGGAACGTTGCGCATGATACTGACAACAATGTGCTGCACGAAGAAGTATCGGTATTCCGCGATTTCCGTACCATGTTCGACCCATTCGACTTTCTGCCTGATTCGATCTTCGTACAGTCCCAGAACGAAGATCTTACCCTCGATAACGGTACCCAGCAAGCCGGTTCTGAGAAATTCTGGCTCGACAGGTGTTGGTGTTGGATTTCCGGGGTCGAACTTATAGGGCCGCGCGTGAAAGATTTGCTCAGTATGCTTAGGCAATGCCCAGAAGCCTCCTGAGAGTGATGGGGAATCAACCCAAATCTCGCCCACAGAGTGCGGTGATGCCAGAAGACCAGTTTCAGGATCCACAACAGTCAAAGTAGCATCTGGTATCGGATAGCCAAATGCCCCGATTCGAACCAAACTTGGGTCGCTTCCAGCTTTCTTCCTCGCCTCTTCACCGATAGCAACAACCACAACCTCATTAGTCTTGAGTGCTTCTCGATCAAGAAGAACTTCGCTCAACTCGTTCTTAGCGCGCTGTTCCGTGCGATTTGTTGTTCCTCCACCGAGAAGACTGCCAAATCCATTGGATGGCGCGGGCTTCTCCTCTTCTTTCTTTTCTTTCTCTTCCTCGGAATCAGTGTCTTCACCCATATCTAGCTTCAACGGACATCCCATGCGCTCCTCTCCGCCGAGCCAGTCGCGAATACTGATGACCATGCCTCCATGCTCTGGCAAGCAGAGCATTGGAGCGACAACTTCTCTAGCCCGGGTGTTTCGTAGCGGGCGAAGCCATCGATCGGCAAGGACCTCGTGGAATTCGCTATCCACTGTTAAGGTATCAATCAAGCACAGCTTGACCGTCTGGAAGTTCGGCTCCGTCCCCTTCTTGAAATTCCTTGTAGTCATTGGGTCTTGTTGATAGTTGTATGCTGCACGCTTCAAACCTGGATAATCTGCAACCATCAAGGTTGCCCTGTATTTTGTGATCAGGTGGGCGTAAAGTCCCGGAACATCAACTGCCTTGTTCTCTAGCCAAACAGTGGTGTGCCCACCATAGACTGTCAGTAGAACTCCTAGGATCATGCCAATGCCTTGACGCGGATCCAAGTAGGACAATAATATCTCACTACTTGCACCGCCGCCGATTAGGCGTCCATTCTTGTCCCTTAGTGTAGTGCTGAACGTATCAGCAGGGCCATTTCCAGGGACTGTAGAAACAATTGCGCTCATGCATGCCATCTGGTGCATGATGGTTCGGTGACTCAACACCACACCCCGTAGATCGCCCGTAGGAGCGCGAGAGAACTCGATATATGCCAAATCTGGTACTGATAGTGGGGGTATATCATCCTTTCGCTTGGGATGGTAGCTGCCGAATTCGTTTGTTTTCCACCACTCGACGCCCTTCGGCCAATTCAGCTTTTGAGTCGTTATGTCTCGCTGAAAGGTCTTCAAGTTGTTGTCCGTCGTTAGCGCCAGATGAGCTTGCGTAGAGGTAAGGATGAAATTAAGCTTCTGGTAATCCTGCAATTCGTTGATAGGGACCGCAACAACGCCAGCAATGAAACACCCCAGAAGAGCAATTGCAAAATCGATGACCTCTGTATCACGGTAAATCAAGGCCACGCGATCGCCTCTATAGAGGGAGCTCTTGTCCCGAATGACCTGCGCCACTTTCTCTGCTCTTGACGCAAGCTTGTCCCAAGTGATGGAAGCTATTTCTTTGCCTCTGCTATCCAATACCCAGTATGCAGGAGACTTTGCTATTGTGCGCCCGCGATGTCGAAGGACTGCTGCTATGTTGTCGAACTTAGACATGGGGGTATTTGAATCATGTGGATCGTAGATTGCAAAAGGGACCTCCCGAGGCTCGAGCGGCATCTGGTACTCGAGGGCATCGGGCGGTGGCAGATCGTTTGCTGTCAGCATGGGCGGAGCCATAGCCACCGTCGGCGAGAAAGCATCGCTCGCCGAATACCTTTGTGCCCCGCCATACTGTTCTGCCGGCATTTGGTCGTAGGCTTGTTGGCCAGCAAAGTCCGAGAAATAGCCTTGTGAGTCTAGCAAAGTGCCTGTGCGACTGTCGTACTGGTTCTGCTGCCCGCCTTGCTCCCCGTAGCCCCCGTGCCGCTCAGGATTGAAGGCATAGTCAGTCGAGACCATTGTACCCGAGCGAGTAGACGCATCGTTCATGCCCGCCTGCGGAGCAGGGGCAAGGAATAGCGAGTCGTGCTGCTGTAAAGTTGGGCGGTGGTCGGCGAGCGGGCCGCCGGGTGCCAGCAGCGAGGCGGGGTGCTGCTCGGGCGGCGCGAATTGGCCTTGTGCAGTATATGGAGACTGTGGTCGGTAGGAGCTGGTGGGTGAGGTCGGCGAGTAAGGGTTGCCGTGATCTGGGGAGTTGGAATTGGCATTGAGAGCAGCCAAGCTGGCGGCTCGGTGGCCATCGCTGCCGGGATAGGAAGCGGTGTCTGGGGAGTGGATGGTGAGACCTCCTCTTGGCTCGTTAAATGCTCCTGGGCCGATGAATTGAGACAAGAGCTGTGTTCTTCGTTTTTGGTACCTGGAAGTGTGTCAGTGTTTGATGTCGCCCCGTACAGCTTGCATCGCCATGCGGGGGCGCAAGAGGAGGCATCGCCAAGTGCCAATTGAGCCGACATACCCCTTCTCTGTGATATCGCCTTCCTATAGACAGAAGGAAGTCGTTAGCAAACATCGCTTATATTGAAGGAAACACCACGAGCTGCCATCCCTCGGGACAGGCGCTGATCCCGCCAGAGGTAGCAAAGCCACGGTGAAGGAGGAGAGCCAACGCACCTCCAATTCCTTCTCTAGCTCGTCAAGCTTCTCCCGTAGGTCGGGGCTGAAGTCAGCCATATTCGCGGACCGGCGGCGATGGCTCTATCGAATATGGCGCCGTATGCTGTGCCGAGAGAATGGGGGAGAGCTTTCGTGGTGTTGAAGAGGTGTTCGTCGCCGCGGGATGGCAATCGGTTGGTCGGTGTCTTTTGGTGGGACGGCGGGAGGATGCGAAAGTTGGCTGGTGCTGGTGCTGGTTTGGAAGCTGCATGAGTCTCGTGACGTAAGGCGACAGGACAGTAGGTGGCCTGTCCTTCAGCGATGGCGCCAGGGGCAGCAGGGGGTATGTACAGTACGGGCTGGGCTTGCCAGGTTCTACGGCTTCTGCGTTGGCGCTGGCGTTGGGCTTTGGCGGGGGTGAAACGGGGCCAGAGACAGCGGAGCGGCTGGATTGGCCGGCTCTTGGCTGCCGTATCGAGAAGAAGACGAAGAGGATTCACTCAATCTATGGAACGCCTGCTACTAACGACTCACACACCTTCACATGAACCGGGAACCGAGGAACTGAGTCTCTTCACATTCAACGGTTCTGTTTGTTCACCTAAAAACTCGTCAACTCGGTAGTTTCCGAATACGAGAGATCTCTATACCGCCTGGTGTTGTATCTTGGTCTAACACGGACGAGTACCTTGCACTAAGAGGAAAGACATCGTGGCCACATCCAACACGAGGCGATCGGCACTGCTTAGTGGTGGCAGAGGCTGGGAGCACGACAGACCAAGAATTATTCTGGGAAAGCAAAGACTGCTTCTGCCGTCCACTCGCAGCCGTGGACCGGCCTACCTGCTTACTGCATAGTACCTGTCTTCAACTGGCTTCATTCACCAAAGCTCCTTGAGGTAACGCAGGCCTGCTACAGAAACAAGGGTCCTTCTCTCAATTCGGCTAAATCAGCCCAGTCTGGTTAAATTGATGCTGGATGGAGCTTGTCCCAATTCAGCGTCCATCGCAGGATGCCCCATATTTTCAACATCCACATACAAATTCTCTGCACCAAAATTTCTTCCTTCTCACTCATCCGAGGTAACAGACTCCCAGAATATAGTGGTCAACGATCGCACATCAGAGTATCTGCGCTCGCCTGAGAGACCATGGCAAAGCAATAGCTGGCGTGCAGCGAGTGAACGAGCTGGACTCGTGTCTTTAGCATACCGCGTCACACGGTACAGTATAGCAGTCTCGATGCTCGAATGTGCTGCTCCTTGATCTCTATGATCGAAGCAGTAGGCCTTGAGACAGCGTTGCCTGGCTCTCCTTCATGTAGTCTACTTCATGTATCCTGAGACTCTTACATAAAATCTCAACACCCATTTGTCGACAGGCAGACAGATAGCCACCATGGTAAGAACCCACCCCTCCTCTGACACCAACTTCCCGCTTCTCAAATGATGAGATATTCGCATTACTCACAGACCTGTTCTGAATCCTTATGTTGAGAAAGTGCTACATTTTTCTGATAATATTATTCTACCCCACCACACACACGAATCAAATTCGCATTGAGACTGATGAATGTGTAGTTTCGTGACAATATAGGGTCTCCTCCGCTGCGATCACGGCGCCTCAAGCGTGGCTGTAATGATTTTGTCAGGGGCGGCCTCAGTGCCTCTCCTGTGCTCGAAAATCCAGTGCTCGAATCATGATGGCATTGTTCACTTGCTCCAAGTTTAGATCAAAGGACTCTTTGTAACTCTATATTCAAGTCACAAAGGTTGAATCCAACAATAGCATTTCGTGAAGCTCTTTGTCTCCTTCTCCCGTGTATATATGTGTTGGTGTCTCTCTTCGCACAATCGTCTTGTTCAAATTCCAAAAATCTTCTCTATCGCATATCTCCAACAAAGCCAATCCGCAGTTCGGCAGTGCTGCTGCGAAGACAACGTCTTGTTCAAGTCTTTGTTTTTGAAGGCATCGTGAGATATATAAAAAGGTCAACTCACCCCCAATTGTATCAAGCACTTCCCAGAGCAGGAACCCATCACGCGGCATACAATGGACTTCTCCACTCTCGACTTCGATGCGTTCGGCGAGGCCTCTTGGCATTCACCAACTGCGGAGAAGACCGAGTTTGGTTGGTTCGATACAGGGGAGATTCCCATCGATCCAAGTCTCCTCACAGCTGATCAGAATCAGTTCAGCATCGGCGACGCAAGTGCGCTTGATCCTGCTCTCTTTCTCACCGGGGAGTCTTCATCTTCGATGAGCCCTTCGACGGCTCCTCTCCCAGGGCAGGTCCCTTCGCGAGCGAACCAAGAGGCGACTGCAAATGCTTTCAAGACAGGCTTCAATGGAAACGAAACTCTAACTAACACAGAGTCCCCCAAGCTTCCCGTTTCTGAATCCAGCCAAAACTCTCAGGCATTCTCTCGAAAGTGCCTGCGAGGGGCTGAACGACGCGCAGAGCAAGAACGCTCTTCCCAGATGCCCAACCTCAACCTTCCTTTCCTCCCTCTCCCTACTCCTAGCCCATATCCAGATCCACGGTTTGCATTCAACGTTGCCCATCCCAACGCCCCCTACTTCCAGGGCTATCCTCCACCCCAGCACCAACTGACGGCCATGCCACCCATGCCATCCCAGTACGTGCTCCCTCCTCACCCCATCCACTTCGGCAATCCTTACCCCCAGCAGCCGTATCAGTTCATGGCTCGCCCCCCTCCTACTCACCGTGCCGGCCATCATTTGGTCGAGACTAAATCACTTCCTATCCAGGGCTCTCCGCTCTCGCGCAAAGGTAAACGCAAGAGCGAGTCGAGATCTAGTCACTACGACAACAAACCAAAGCGCCGCCGTGGTCACCCGGACGTTGACGGGCTCTACGAGCCGCTCCCGGCAGCGCCGGAGCGGCAGGGTCCTATCGACGAGGCGGGCAAGGACTTCATCAAGTACGACAGGTACGGCGAGATCCTGCCCTACGACCGCAAGTTCACCCGCGACGAGCTCCGCCGATACCTGTGGTGGACGAACAAGCACGCCGACGAGCCCGGCGTCCGGCCGCCCACGCTCTGGATCCAGGCCCACCCGGCCATGTGCAACAAGCGCTACCCGCGGCAGATGCAGTCGTTCAAGTGCCGCATGGCCAGCTGCCCGGTCAAGAAGGGCACCATCTTCAAGGGCATGTGGCAGGTGGGCATCGACGAGTTCCCCGACCAGACGGGCGCGGAGCTCGACCCCTTCCACATGGCGGGCCACTGCCACCTGTGGTGCATCGAGCGCGAGTTCGACCTGTTCGACCTGATCCAGCACGCCGACGTGCGCCCCGACGACCGCCATTTCAAGAAGGAGGCCCGCAACCCGATGTCGCTGCTCCACAACGAGGGCACCTCCATGAGGGCGTACACGCGCTGGTACAAGAATCAGCAGGTCAAGTACGAGGAGCACTGCCGCATCTTCCCTAACCCGGTGCGGCGGCCCAGACGCACGCCCCGCGTGGAGGACTGCCTCTGGCACTGGCTGACGATGTACAAGCTCCGCGAGGAGCGAGTGGCGCAAGCGAAATGCCGCGAGCAGCGCGAGGCAGAGGCAGTCCAGTGCGCCGATCTGCACATCTACAAGGGCGACCTGGAAGTGTGGGCCAGACTGGTCGAGCGGCGTGCCAAGAAGAAGAGATTCGAGGAGGTGGGAGAGTTTGACGACGAAGATTGGGAGCCGACTGGTGGCTTCTCTCGCCCCTCAGAAGCGCCCTCGGGGTGTTTGTCTCAGGAGCCGAAATCCAAGACGCAGGAGCTCTCAGAGCGGGAGGGAAAACGTCCGGAGACAAGCCCGCCTGTGCAAGATCCGCCAATCGCCATCGAAGTGCAAGTTCCACTGGGGACTACACCACAGCCGTTCTACATGGAAGTCGAGGGCAAGGTGGTCCTGATGGTCCCTCATCACACGATTCTACCATCAAAAAAAGGGCAGGCTCCACACGTGGTGCAGGCGCCGGCGCCTGCCATCCAACCTGTGTTTTTTGACCCAGATCTCAGTGCTCTACCCGGACAAAACCTGATGCCGCTGTATCAGGACCAGGTATACGCCGGACAGGCTTTTCAAAACGACATCGCGGGCGTTGCGCCTGTTCCAGAGATGTACCCTCCTCTGCCCGAGTTCGATATGGGAAACATCGGCGAGGAGGATATGAACAATTACATTGACGCAGCGGACTCGTCTCACCAGCAGCTACCAACCCCGCAGATGGCACTGCTCAACTCACCTTTCGACACGCAACCCACGGAGTGCATCGAAGTCAAAAGCACGCCGAAGCTGCGAAGATCCCCGCGCCACGGGCAGGGACTGAGCAAGCGCGGCGACGAAGGTAGGTCATCCGCCCAAACGAGCGCTGTGAACAAGGCCAAGAGAGAAAGAGCCGAGAGTCAGGGCGAGGTCCAGGAGCCTCGACGCAAACGAACAAGGGTTTGAAAGCGGTAGGTTGACAGGTTTTCTTAGACTTCTACACTCCTTTGAATAGTTTCCCTTTGTTTGGGCATGGATCACTCGATCGTTGGGATAAAATCACAATAGGAAAAAAAAGGTATAACTCAAAGGAAATATAATCTCAAAAACTCAGAACATGATTGTTGCAACAAGTGACTAAGTGAACTCCACACGTATGAGATAAGAGATGAACGAGTCCCATTGAACTAATGTAGCAGGAGAATAACAAGCAGATCTGACATACGACAACTCGATACAATACAACATAACAGTCAAGAAGAACGACGTTACGCCACACGATCAAATGGCCGCATGACATACGTAATGACAAGTGCTGCTGCAAGTAAGAAGAACAGCTGGCAGGCTAGAAAGCTAGCTGCTGCTTCGTGTCGCGGGCGCCCTTGCGGTCAAGTGTTAATTGGAACATCGGGCCAGTGGACGGCCCCGTTGGTCATCATCTTGACACTTGACAAAGGGATCTCCGGGCTCTTTGAATGCAGGCAGCGGAGACTAAAGCAACGTCTTGTGGTAGCACAGCGGTAGCCCCGTAGACGAGCAGAGCAAGTGAGCCGCGGCGAAGCCGAGAAGGGGCCACTAAATGGCGGCGACGGCGGACCACCGAAGCTCTGCTCCTCCTCCTATTGCCCCTTCCCCCCTTCCCCTCTTCTCCTCTCCCATCCCAATGGAGGGTCCCACTGCGCTGGGGCGGGCGGTCTGGCGTCGGGCTGCATGTGCTGCTTGTGCTGCAGGCTCGCCTCGTGCGTCTCATAGAGTGAAGGTGGCCCTTAAGCTAGCGACGAACGGCTGGAGACCGAGGGCGAGCTGAGGTGCCCGCTGGTGACTCCGGGTAGTTGTTATACCGAATATGGTTCGAAACCTATTGGCGCTATCCATTTGGCGGAGCGGTATGATTCTTTTCTCCCGCTAGCCAGAGGCGGGTCGGCCACCCCAATATATAAGCTACCTGCAGTGTGTAGGTACTGCATAGTACTACGCAGTAAGGCGATTGACAGGCATGTGGCCAGTAAATGAGTGAATGCTGCAGGGGACGGCGTGTCCCGCGTTGGCGTTGTATCCCCCATGCAGCAGACAGATGGACAAGCCGCAGAACGAGTGCGCTAGAGTGAGGCCAGGCAAGGTAAGGAGGACATAATAAGAACGACAGGATTCCGTGGTTGGATAAGTGCCTTTGTTGTCGTTTTTCCTCAGCCGATTGTGTCTTGGAATTCCTTGTTGTTTGAGTCAGGCGAGACTTGATAGAAAGAGAGCATAAGGCAAAGTTACGGCAAGGCCGCTGTCATATCATACCTACAGTAGGTAGTTACCTTACGCAGTATACCTGGGACTTAATTAGCCCCACATATAACCATGACAGACGGCCTTCAGCGTTACCTGAGTTGAAAGACAGACAGACAGACGGACTGCACACGGCGAGTGCACGAGTCGTTCACAGCAGCAGGAATTCAGACGACCGAAAAAGGCGGTTAATAACCTTCGACGGCCCACATCTCACGTTCATCATAACGGCAACCACCTCATCTCTCATCAGGACCGACATCTGATACATCAATTCACGTCACGTGTGGAGGAACCGAGGGATCCCATCTTACGGTACAGTACCGTCCCGGTCCTTGCAGCATATCGAGCCGCCGCCTGCCCTGTCCACCTTCCCAACCACGGCAAGCGCCCTCCCGGACCAAAATCATTATCAGAAGCTGAAGCCGAATCGAATCAATCAAATCAGAATCGAATAAAAAATCAGGGGACTTCCTCTTACCTCTCGATCTTGGTGGTGGTGGGCTGTGGCAGTCTTCTGACCTGTGACTGACCAGACTAGCCTTGCCTTGCCTTGACTTGACTTGGCTGAAGACAGGATACGGTAGCCTGGTTGTCTGCGTCTTTGGGCTGAGGACCGAGCTGAAGAAGACGGTGTCTCGGTAGTTATCTTTTGTCGCAACAGCAACAACCCTCACCTACCTACTTCACCTTGTTCACCTCGCACCTCACAATCTGCAGGTGCCTTCTTTGTCGGTCTCATCAGCAGGTCTCACGACGGCCTCGGGCTCCTGCAGCGCGCGAAACGCTCCACCTCTTTCGGCGACAACAGGCTTCTCTTGACCGTCACAACTGGCCAGGACAAAAGCCGTGTCGTTCTCATCGCACGTCGGTAGATTGTGTCATTCGCATCCCTGCCTGCCCTCTACCTACCCTGCTCGCTGACCGACCGACCGACCGACCTTGACGCTTCTGACGCCGACGGACTGACGACAAATCTCCCGCATTGAAATGGGAGACGGTGGAGCTGAGGGCGACGAGGCGACCTCGCCTGCCCTGCAGGTCATTGTCCTGGTAAGTCGGCATCCGTCTTTTCGCAGTTTCTCTCATTTTCTGCTCTCTGCTCCTTGCATTTCGTCCCATGGACTTGCTTTATTCCGATTCGTGTCTCGCGCGCACGCATTCGCTCATTCATTCGTTGCATCTCCCTCCTCGCTTCATGCGCGCGCGCTGCCGCCGCAGCAGCCGTGTTCCAAGCAGGCTTCTAGAAGACAGCCGTGGGTGCAGGTGGTCCTCGGCACTTCGTTGCCTGCCAGTGCCATGCCACGCCGCCAGGTGGTGGTCTGGCCTGGCCCACGCAGCCCTGCATGCCCCTGCCCGCCCTATGAGATCCGCTTGTTGGTTCTTCTTCCACCTCAACATGTAGCATCATCGTCTGCTCTGAATCGTTGCATCAAGATGAAGCGCAACCTTTGGGGTTAGTTGCCGGCGCATTCACTTGCGGTTGTCAATGATGCGCGACATATTCGACCAGTCATTTTCCCCCTGGTGTCAATGCTTTGTTCACCCATGCGGTTTTAGCAGGCAGCAATACCAACAAACAAAGGCCCGCCGCCACCTAGCCGGACCTGTGGGACACGTTGTATACGTGGGCTGAATGAACGCCATTCAACAGCTCTGTCTATTGCGTCTCCTTTGTTTGGTCGCAAGTCTGCTGACGAAATGCGCCACGTGAAGACACATATGACAAGTGACGTCTTCAAGTGAAGCAATGACCATCTGCAGCGTTCAAGGTACATGTCACATATGACTTGATCCTCCCAAAAGCTTGGTCTCAGAACGTGGAACCGTTATGCTGGAATAATAAACTTGCTCAAGCTCCACCTTTCATCAAAGCAATTTATCACCAGCAGGGTGAAGAGTCAATTTCTCTAACTTGCGCAAATAGGGTTCTGGAGGCGGCCCTCAAGAAGCAAACACAACCGCATTCCTCGTGCGGTCAATCGCATCGGGATGGCGGAAAGGCTCCATAGTGGCTGTCGATGCGGGCGTACATCTGAGTGCCATCACACGCATTCTTGAGCAGACACTACCCAAAGGACTTGGGACAACGGAGGAGCTGCCGCTACCTCACACTCTGGAAACCGGTCCCTTTGCTGGCCTGGAAGTGCAACATGCCTCGGCCGGCGCAAATGCAGGAGATATTCACCGAAACCTCATTGATACTTACCTCATCACACACCCTCACCTAGACCACATCGCCGGCTTTGTTATCAACACCGCCGGGCTACCGGGCACACGGCCGAAACGGCTGGCAGGTCTACCGGGGACGATATCTGCTTTCAAAACGCACATCTTCAACAATGTAATATGGCCGAATCTGTCGGACGAGAACAATGGCGCCGGGCTGGTGACATACATGCGACTTAACGAAGGCGGTTCGCCAGCTCTCGGGGAGGGTGACGGCAAGGGCTATCTAGAACTCACCGACGGCCTAGCAATCAAGGTATGGGGTGTCAGCCACGGCCATTGCATCGAGAGACATTCGCATCGCGGGAGCGGGTCCAGCACGCGATTCGGTTCCATGGACGCATCATCGGGTGCCGGGATGAACTTTGGCACCGGCATGCTAAGCCCGCGGAGCCTGGCACATCACAACACGAGCTCGAATCTCTCAGTGTTTCTACAACAGCAGCAAGGGCAGGAGCGGAGTCCGTCTATTCTCCCTGGGTCTAGTGCACCCAGCGGCGGCAACGGACGATCCAGCTTAAGCCTCGGCGCTGCGCACAGTCCGAGCGAAAGTGTTTGTGTGTATGACAGCAGCGCATATTTTATCCGAGATGTATACACCGGGCATGAGGTGCTGATATTTGGTGATGTTGAGCCAGACAGCATTAGCCTGTCACCACGCAATCTAAACATATGGCAAGAGGCCGCGCCTAAGATCGCCGCGGGGAAGTTGGCTGCTATCTTCATTGAAAGCAGCTACGATGATAGCCAGAGCGTGGATAGGTTATTTGGCCATCTTACACCACGGTTCATTGTGGAAGAAATGACTGCACTAGCTGGTGAGGTGGAAGCTGCGCGCGCGACAATCATGAGGGAAGCGAAAGAGGCCAGAGAGAGAAAGAAGAGGAAACGGGAAGGAGACGAGGGGCTCGTCAGTGGGAGGCGGAAAACAGCTACTTCAGGACCCAGATACAGCGGTGACAGTGGTGCCAGCGAAGACCCGGTCAGTCCCAAGACGGTGAAACCCGGAGATCGATCCGGATCGCAGCCGTCTATCGAGGAGCATATGCTCGGCTTCGACAGCCCACACATCGCGACACCAACAGCAGAGCTGAGCTTGAGAGAAGCAGAGCTGAGCTCCAGCATACCGTCTATCAGCGACCTTGTCGCCGCATCTTCAGGCCCGCCCCTCAAGGGGTTGAAGGTCGTCGTGATTCACGTCAAGGACAAGCTCATCGATGGCTTGCAGGCCGGTGACAAGATCCTCGAGGAACTCAAGGAGCACGATGAGGAAGCGCAGCTAGGGTGCGAGTGGATCATCTCTTACCCCGGACAAAGTCTCTACTTTTGATCTTATAGCTCTTTCCACTCTACCAGTCGGTCTTCTCGGAGTTGAAGACTGGAGTTGTACAATTATTTGACTTAGAAGTTGGGCACGTATAGCGGGGGGTTCCGGTCGGGTCATTTGTTTTTTCTATACTTTTACCTCCCTTAGGTCTGGACTTCAACACCAACCGGCGGTGACTTTTGGACCTTACGCCAGGGGTATTGGACTTGGTTCAACCGACTTACAGGAGACGGGAAGGCTGACGGTGTTGCGGGCGTCACGAGATATGGCTGATGATTGGCTGTCACTTTACGATACATCCAGTTGGGTGGTTCGGACTCTCGACCAAGTATTTGTCTTAAACCCGGCATGTCAGATGTCTATGTCTATGCATATATATATATATCGTTATTCCACCGTACGCCTGTGCATTTTGTTTGCGAGTGATTCGCCATCCTGGACCAACCTCCAAACGGCGCCTTCTTATCTTCTCTTCAAAAGAAATCATGCTGAACCAGCTCCCGATGCCGCTTGACTGCCTTCATTTGTCCCGTTAGCAGCATCTCCGTTGATGCCGAAGCGCTGCTTCTCTAGCTTCTCATATGCCTCTTGCCCACCAAAGTCCTTGTCCCAGTCTGGGCGAAGGAGCTCAAAAGCCTCCGTTACCCGACCATATGTGACGCCTCCTAATCTGCTCATGGGCCTCAAAACCTAACGAAAATATTAGCCACGGCGATCATCCAACCATCCCCTATCCTTAATTCAACTTACCGCCGGATCAATCAGATTCTTGTCCTTGTTCAGCGCATCCTCACGCACCCAGAAACGCGTCCCCTCAATGACAGCCAGCACGCTCGTCTTCTTCCCGGGCGTCTGCCTGCTCTCGAACTCGCGCGCGCTCTCCAGCTTGCCCTCGACGCTGAAGACGGCCTCCTTGACGCGCGCGCACTTGACGTCCACGCAGTCGTACGCCGGCGTCAGCCCGCTGACGGCCCACTCGCTGGTGCCGTAGGGCGCGTTGATGCTCGTCGAGTTGGCCGCCTCGACATAGTGCTCGCTGATGATGTTGATGACGCACTCGCCGCTGTCGACCAGGTTGCGCAGCGAGTCGCGCGCGCGGCTGTCCGCCGCCAGCGCGCCCACGAAGCCCACGACGAACAGCGGCGGGTCGCTGCCCACCATCTGGAAGTAGCTGAAGGGTGCGAGGTTCTCGACGCGGCCGTCCTTGGAGCGCGTCGACACGAAGGCGATCGGCCGCGGCACGATCGCGCTGATCAGCAGCTTGTAGTTGAAGGCGGCCGGCCGGCCCTCCTCGTAGGGGTCGATGGCGACGTGCGCCTTGGCCGCGTCCGCGGCCGTCTGCAGCGAGTTGGCGCCGCTGCCGAACTGCCACTGCGGCGCGGGCGTCTTGCTGTAGCGGAAGTTGCTGGCGGCGTCAAACGCGGGCCGGGAGCCCTCGACCTTCTTGAAGTCCGGGTGCGGGTTGCGCTTGATCTCGGCTTCGGACTTCGCCTTGAGCTGCGCCTCGGTGAGAGACATCTTGCTTTGCGCCGTGGTCGAGAGGCAGGCTAGGTGAGGTCGAAGTCGGGTCAGGGGTCGGCGGCAGCGAGGAGGAGAAGGTCGAAGAGGGAGGACGACGGAGGCTTGTCGAGCGAATCGCAAGTTCATGGATCACCAATCACCGAGACGGCAGAAGTCATACATACAGCGCGCTTTATGGCTTTATAGTCTCATGCAGTTTGCTGAGCTAAGTGGACTGCGGCGGAGACCATACATTGTCTTCCGATACCGTATCCATTGCTTCGACTCGGCAAGTGGGGTTCAAGGGCATCACTGGCTTGATTGATCGCGGGGAATAGCGGCCACTCCAGTAATCGATGGTGCTTATCGGCAACTCGGTTCCTCCAATTCCTACCCGGCAGGCAGGATAAGGACCCCTAATCCCGAGGTCCGCTGCGATTTAGACCGGTGGAAGCCGATTTGCAGAATTCCGCACTCTACCTCGCCAAAGAGGAAACATGGATTCCTCAACCTCTCCAGAACTGCGTCTTACCCAGCTTGTCTGGTCAATAATCGCCTGGAATCATGGCTTTGTCATGACAGATGGATATCCCTTTCTTAGAATATAGTGTAATCGCTCCAAAATGGAGCAAGAAGATGCGCTGAACTGAGAAAGCGAATGAGATCTGATCCCGACTTGTGGAGTCTTTCCAAGACGACCGACTCGAGTTGAACAACCAATCATAGGCCGTTCCGTTCCGATCCAATTCGGAACCCTAGAGACATGGAGCTTGAGAAGACTTCCAAGACGATTGTCAACGGCTTGCATGACTCCATACATGGTACGCACGTGTATCTGGGCTACATATTGTTGAATATCGTGACCCGCAAGCCACTTCTGTGGTCTATTGACCGTCCCGGGTAGGGACTGAGGTGCTTTGCTTGGATCGTCGAATCGAACATTACACACCCTACCCATGGGGTTCTCCCTTTCCTAGTATAAGGCGGAGGGAAGCAGGATCGAGAAGCCCAGCAGATTAGAAGACCAGTAAGTCGACGTCCATCACTCGTCTCATAATCAACAACTTCGTATTGAGCAAAGTCCTCCGAAGCCTCGAGGTGGGTATCATAACTGGGTAGTAGAGTCTTCGGTGCCCCCGATAGAAGACACATTTCGTCACGAATTCGAGGTAGAACGTCCAAAACAAGGGTTATTTTTCTACGGCATGTCAACTACTAATGAGGTCCTAAACACCTACAATCAGCGAACAGCTGAGACGCGGCATCTTGCTGCAATGAAGCCCACCCCAATCACACAGTGCTCAAGTCAGCCAGCTGGACCACCACCATTGCAGGTCTATGCACACAAATAGAAGGAAGCTGTCAACAGTATGCAATTGGGAACGAGGTTTCGACGTGTCTTCTTATTACTCCTTGTAGGATAGTGAGGGATCGTAAAAGAGGTGTCACAAGCCAATACGCGCTCGAAACGGGCCGTGCGTTGGTGTTAGTGGAGGTAGCGCGCTTGCATATGACATCATCTATCTGTTCCAACAAGCACATCGACCACTCTTCAGATCGTATATCGAGCGCTTCTAGGGCGTCTAAATCCCCGGGCAAGCTTCTCCGCGAAGTGAGACGATTGCGGAACGGCCCTGGTTAAGCGGCGCCCTATGGAGCACCTAGAAAAGAGATCTGCATTCCAAGACATCCCACAAGCCTTATCCAGGACAGAATGCATCCTCTACGGCAACCACCCGTCCCAAATGACGTTGACGCACCGCCAATCCTGCAGCCGCACACCCTCCGTCCTCCCGTAAGATCACAGATGAAACCACGTGCGATTCCTTCACAGGGCGGCAGGCAGGGTAGAACAGATGGTTAAAAAGCCCAGATTCCCAACCGTTATCCGCATCGTGGACCACACCGTAGCAACCAGCCGTTACATCACAGTGTCTAGCCGCGTCATGGCTGCGGCCGACAAACCGCATCTCCCGGCGGTAAAGCTGCCTAAAATCAAGCTTGACACCACTATCGCAGAACTGTTCAAACGCGCAAAGCCTCAAGATGCCGAGAAGCGACTCGGCCTCGTCCTCTGCGGCGTAAACTGTGGCATGGACCTCAGCCCAGACTTCCCGCGCAACACAAAATTTCTGTACCAGGATAGCCCCTTCAACACCATCCCGCGGCAGGATCTGTCGAACGGGAACATTGAGCTGCAGAAGTCTCTAGCCATGAAATATCTCAGCCTTATTCCTCAGCGCGATGCGTTCATCTCTGGCAACGCGGCGGTGGTTCTCTTCAACGTGGATCAAACCCCTGAGCAAATGGAGCACGATCGCCATGAGGCGGAAGCTACTATTTCAGTTCTCGATTCGTCCCAGCGCCCGGAACTCATTTTCTGTCCAGGCCCTGCAAAGATCCCCGTAAAAGAGCACCATATCGATAAGATCGCGTATAAACTGGCTCTAGATGGACTCCAGGAATACCCCCTTACTATCGATTTGGAGACGCACTGGTACCTCAACAGCAAAGCCGCACTTGCACTATCTGGTTTGCCAACTCCTCGAGCGGAGGTCATTGAGGTAGCCGGCTTTGGACCTACCGCAGATGCCTGTTGTGATATCTGCACCACGGACAGAGGCGAGCTGGTGTTTATCCCATCGAAATGCACCGGTAGTCGCGGCGAGTGGCTCCGGGAGCAAACAAAGCTGATCATAGCCGCGATCGAGCGCCGGTCGATTCCATTCGTGGTGAAGAACCAACAGACTTTCGGCGGGGCAGGTACCTGGGTTATCAGCACAGAGAAGCAGAAGAGAGATTTTCTCGCCGACTTCAATGGCGAGGATGGCGTACTTCGTAAGCTATTGTCGAGCGTGACGAAAGATAATTATCACCTCAAGCCTGGGACATTCATCATTAGTGATCTGGTGAAGGACCCCATCGGTGATTATGGCTTGACCTTCTTTGTGTATGACACTGGCGAGGCAACCTTCTTAGCTGTCTCGGAGCAGATGATCGATGGCAATAATGCGTGGATTGGCAGCACGATCAACTACACGCATCAAGGAAAACTATACCAGAAGTTCGAACCATTGATGAAAAAGACGGCTGCTTGGCTGTCAAAGCACGGTTATTACGGTCCTGCAGGAATGGACATCTTGGAGACACGAACTCCTGGAGAGACAGATAGCCATACTGGGGAGCAAACGGCATATCATATTGTCGACTTGAATGTGCGGACATCTGGATCCTTGTGCCTGCCTTTGTTGCGTGGGCACTTCACAAGCCGTAGTATGAATTGTGCAAGTAGCTTCTCCATCACAGTGAAGGGGGGACGAGACGAGTTCATCGAGAAATGGAAAGACGGGTTTGAATCGGGCCAAATGTGCATCTTGAGTTGGTATGAAGATTCAGACGCACAAGAGAGCATAGCGGACGTGGCTGTTGGGGCGGAGAGCGAGGAACAATTACAGAAGCAGATGAAGAGAGTCCGAGATGCTACTGAGGAAGTGACGTTCTAGGGAGTTGAATGTAATAGGCGCTTAAATTAGGTAAAACTCGGTATTCCTACTTAGGTAAATCTCCACTGCAAGAGAATTATTCTCTGCAAGTAGTGCTTGTGGATGTGTTAAACTAAATGCTGAATACATTCACTTTCTCTCTCTCCGTATAAGCGAATAATTTCCGACCCAGCTTTCAAAAGGGAGAAACTTAGGCGAGGTGAGCCACAGTGATAATAACTCGAAAATGACATACTCTACGTCCTCAATATTCGTAGGGCTTCTTTCTTATCCGCTTCTTTTTCCTCTAGTGTTATTCTGCGGGCCTTGCGTTTGCTGGTGAGTTATGACATACATCAAGATTTGTATTTCGTCATACGACCAATTAGGTGCTTTGGTGTTCTTTTTTAGCTTCTGTTTCTGCTTTTAGTCTTTACGCTTTAAAACCCTGAAACGATCTCCGAGAAGTCTAGCTATTGATAGTGGAAAGTATTTGGCGATAATATCCTTAACTTTGATACCTGCTATGCAGTTTGCCATCAGAATCTGGTCTTTCTCCTCCAACCAATGATAATGCCTAGCGTTAACTTTTTGCTTCTGTGGCTGTCGTTCTTTGACCTCTGAACTAGGAACGTCCTCATTTTGCTGGTATCTTAGGAATAAAGCGCAGTTTTGACATCTTGATGTCTCTTACCAGCCAGTAAAATCGGCTCTAGGTAGACGAGGTGCAGAACAAGCTAGATTCCCACAGACATCGACATGTCCTGCAGCAACCCATAAAATATGTTCGTTCCGTAATTCGGCATCACATGATCTCCAGAATCCTGGTCTTCGTGCTTTGTCAGAGTACGCGAAAACTCGCTCGCACGCTTGGCATCGCTGTAACCCAAGCGGGTTGCCAGGTTCAGTAAGTCGGCTATGGTCTCGTAGGCTTGATTGTGGGGCCAGCTCCCGTCCACAGGTGACGCAGTAATAAGTTTGTCGTCCGATAGAAATTCCGATCATTCCCTGGTGAATAGACAAAGCGCCATCGAGGCCATTTCCTTCAATATCTGGCATCTTCGCATTCTTGCGAGCTCTGTCATATAGATCGTAACATGCCTGTGGATTATACAAGCCTGGTTCCTTTCGACCGACAAAGTCCCAATCAAGATCATAAATATAGTCTCTACAAGTGGAACATCTGGCTTGATCTGATCATCACGATCAAAGGTTGCCAATACTCGAAGATTCGCTCTGGTTCCTTGCAAAGCCCCTCATGGTGACGCTGCTTGTTTTCACTACTTGATTTAGTGAAAGCAGCAAGTGCATGCCTGTCAAGACGTGGGCACCCACCACGAGAATCGACAGACGAGCCAACGTACTTCCCACAATGAAGGATTGTGCCAGTCTCGTGGTGATCATCCGGAGGCCTAAGCATTCTAACGAAGTGTAACGTCGAGATAAACAAGCCAGCACTTTCTCTGCTCGAGACTCGGCTCTGGTATCGTGAGAAGATCAAAGACTGTTGGTCGAATATTGCCCAGGACTTCTTGAACCTGGTGGGAAACTCTTGTGAGTATCATAGCTGTAAGTTGTGTAGCTTCGCTGACGTTGAGGATGATGTCGAAAGCCGTCCCCATAGCTGAGGTGTCGTGGGAGTTTCTTGAATTCTAGATAGGTAGTCTAGCAGGATATTCGACAAGCTCTAACACAGCGGCAGCTAGTCTCTCCGTAAAACTGATGATATCCTGATCGACGCTTTGGATTTCTTCTTCCAAAGGACTGTCACTACGGTAGGAGAAATACTGAGCAATTTGTTAGCAAAAAATGTCCCATCCGGATAAAAAAGGGGCCCCGTATGAATGTCGAGGGCCCAATCCAGTAGTCATCAATGTGAGATAGGCCTTTTTTTACCTCCTCACCCACTCCTAACAAACACTGCCTACACATCACATAGAAGGAGAAAATAGGAGGAAAAAAAATTTGAAGCGTCTCTTTGATTGAGCGTGTCATCCTTAGTGCAGGGGCCATGCTAATCTTCTCCTACAAAGATGGTTAACACAGGGATCGAACACGGCGGACGGAGCTCAGCTTACTGTATCGTTTCAAATTGACCAAATGCCCGAAGGCATTAATATTGTCAGATAACAGAAATATATGGGTACATCATATTCCGGAGTTAGAGGCCCCGCCCGCACTAAACTATGTTAGTACGCCGTCACGTGGAGCGATGATATTCTACCCACTCGCCGATTTAATAATAAAGTTAGGCTGCAGATGTGTTTCCCTACATCATTAGAATGACACCTTCAGTAGATTCATATTAGAGAATGCACTGCCATGCTGTCAGGGGAAGCTGGCTACCTGCCCTGCTTTGCCGCGAACCCTAGCTGACTCGGTATCCCGTATGGGATATTCAGCTGTTACATACAGGGACCATGTTAATGGCCAAAGAGAGCCTCTCTCTGGCACTATTGCGTCGCGTAAGAGTATGGAGATAGTTGTTGATTTTACCATGAACTGTGTCTGTACAGATGGACTACATATGTGCACACCTGGGCGCGTGCCTAGTTAGCCATGACACATGCAATTAAACGGCCTGTAAGTCTTTAAAATAGGAGGGAATAAGTTTGAGTAACGACGTACGCCCTTACTTCTGCCCAACAGTTTAGACAAAAAGTGACTTGTTGAATTTGGCCACTCAAAGACTACCTATGGAGATCGGCTACGAAAAGCCTCTTAGTGCCGCAGAACCCTTTTTTCGGCTTGAGACTGATTCGGTATACCCTAGCAGCGCTCTTCATAGCCGAGCCGACTGATTGTACCTGCTCCCTGTGCCAAAGCATACGGTCACATGATTGGGACGGCTGGCAAACTTCATGCCCCGATACATAACAATCGATTAACACACTAAGTGGGCTCTTTGAATGCCTAGAGGGCAAACCAATGAGGGCTCTTGGTGAATTCTGCTACGATTCTTCGAACTCCAATCTGGTCGTAATCATCCGATAGAATTTATGTTTTTTCGTCCATCTAAGTAACTCATTCAAGACGAAGTGATTGCCCACGTCTAAGAAACTCTTGCAACACGTTCCCCGTTATAATAGCAACAGGGTTTTGATAGCCTTCCCAACCTAGGGAGCAATACCAGTTGATACTCCCCACACTAAACACAGCACCACCACCACTAGTTTCATAGTAAGTCATATCACTCCTAACTTTATCGCAAGTAGTTCCCAGCGTGTCAACTAAGGGAAACATCATCTCCTCGTTGAAGACACCGAATGAGTCGTCGTGGCCGGTACTCGTTGCCAGGAGAATTGTGTTATCTGGTGAACCGAGATCGAAATCGAGCCTATCAATCTCATCGCCGGAGGCACCGCCACCAAAGCCTTCAACCCCTATCAAGGGCAACGGCTCCGACTCGGACTTTTTAAGGCCATTCCAAAGCCATGCAAAGTCTGGTGAAAACGCTGGTCCTTCCAATGCCTTATATGGAACACCTGGTCCACTTCCACATGCACAACTCCCAATCCCAAAAAGCGCTTGTGGGTTTCGACCGCGACTTCTCCATAGCCCACCTTGCTCGCCGGTCAGTGAATGCATACGCTCACCGGCAGGCATACCAAAAGAACGGCAGCCTTGATCGCCGCGACGAACCTCCATACGATGAGGCCTTTTTGGATCCGTCACAGATGTCCAGTAGAAACCATTTCCCCCAAGGTACATGATATTGCCGCCACCACGCGCAAATGCTGCATACGCATTCAAGCTCTGCAAACTGGGATACTCAGGATGGCAGCCTGTGATTATGACATCGTAATCGGTCATGCAATCTACGCCTTTCAAGTGCAGATCATGGTCAGTAACTACATCATATCCACCTCGTCCGAGGGTCCGTTCAAGGAAGCCGAGCATGAGCTGATCAGCACTGAACTCGCGAGGCCGATGAAACGCCCAATTTACGTAGCCTGGGCGAATATTCAGGATTGGCCGCTTGGAGCTTGAGAAAACAGTGCCAGACCCGTCTCGATGCACGTCGTACATGCTCAGTCCAAGATCTGTCCGACGTGCCATTCGTCGCCAGTGGTGATCCTTGCGGATTTTCACTCCTCCTGCTAGCTCCATATGCGACGCACGATCTTCGTCGTACATATGTTCGTTTGCATATGCTAGATATGTGAATGTTGAGAGAATCATTGCGGCTTTTGGCCTTGATGACTTGGAATTTTGCGTTGGTCGCACAAAGAAGGTGATATCGTCGCTGATGTCACTGCCGACCCCCTGCACCGCGACGGAATAAGCTCCTGAGACTGCATCCTCTGGTATTGTGACCTTAAAGCTCGTCTCCCATCCGGCGTCATCTAGGTCATCTTCATGGAAATGAATAGCGCCATATCCATACTTTGCTTTCGTCCAATCTGGCTCTGATCCGTCCCAGTCATGTCCTTTAACGGCCCTTGTTGGGGCGTTTATCAATATGCCGTGTCTTGAGTGTCCTGATGTGTCTGTGATGCTGTCTGACGATATATCTAACGCAAAGTCGTATCGAGCCCAAGTCTGGAAAATGGTTCCATCCGTGGAAACTTGTATATGAGGAGAATCCAAACGCCCGTTGAAAATGCTCCTTGGGGAATTTGTGGTGACTAGCCCACTATCAAAGAAACCACCCGCAAAAGCGAGTGGTGTCATTCCTCCAACAACCGCAGCTGAGGCCAAAGGCGATCCGTATACTTGTGGCTGCGGCGCCTTTTCCGTTAGTCGATTGAGATGATGGATTTGTACTTTTAGAAAATCAGGTGTTATATCGAGGATGACATCCGCCCAGCGCCATCGTCGCAAAGGTATTCCCGAATCATGTATGTGAACATCCCGCCCGTCTCCGACATAGATACATATACTTGCCGAAGTATTGAGGACAATAGCGAATCCAGTTGCGCTCTCAATATCCAGCGTCGATACTAGTGTCTGATCATGGCCTGCATCAAGAAGCCAGGGTTGAACATACAGGCTGCAACGGATTGCTTTGACGGGTGTCT